AGGCTGTGGTTGAGGGGCAGCATAAGCGGCAAGTTATGATGGATATTTAAGAGATCGCCCCCCCTAACTTGACTGAGAGCCTTTGGCTCCTTCATCAACTTTCTCTTGGATGGTTGACTCATTACTTACCTTGCAGTTATTGTTGGTTCTGTCAACGTACATTTCTCACAAGTTTCCGCAATGGATACCTACAATCTATTGCCACACGATGGCCTTTCGAAGTCAGTTCGATCCAAATCATATCCAGAGAGGTGTTTTGAATCTGGCCCGAAGAGCATGCCTTACACCACTGGAGCTCGGAGTCATTGGGCCTTATGTCGGACCAAGGCTGCGCAGAGTCATACTTTACTTATTTTTTGAGGCCTTGTTTATGAAGTATTATCGCTCTTAATAGCGCTGGTTTCCTTTCTTGGTCTTCTGGTTCTCTTTTCGGCGGACGGTATAAGCCTGAACCGAGCTGGTCATTCGGGCCTAGGTCTTCACACATCACTCTGAACGCCATGGTTTCGATAGTTTCAACTATCTTTCGCAGCTGCATCCTTTTCCCAGTCGCAACATGCATAAGCCAGTTCGGCTGGATTTGGATGAGAAACCCGCATGGAAGATCGCTTCAAGACTTCCCGTCGTTTTCTTCTGCTAGCAATTATCCCCTTGGCAGTTTGTTCCTTCCTTGGAGGCTACGGTTTTGGTCGGCTACTTCCCAATGTTTTCTACCTGAATGTGACGTTCCTAACGAAAGTCATAGGCACTTTGCAAGTCTTGGCGCTACAATACCGCTTGTAGCGTTTGTATCAGGGCCAATCTTCCAGCAGAGCGTTACGTATGAGATCAAAACAGTCATTGACCCTACTTTCCCGCAACCACACTCGTATTGACCTTTCTGTTTCTCGCTGCCACGACTGTGGAGACGCGTAGGAGGGCTATTGGTGTGTGGTTGTCGAGTCCATTGGCTCTTTTCTTTAATGGGCATCCGGATTCGAGCGGCAAAAACGTTCGTTCTAACGCCAGTCCCGAGTCTCTCAATACAGCTGATGGTCTGGTCCAGTTTGCATCGGGGTTCAAGACTTGCATCGCTAAAGGCTCTCGCACGATCGACGCAGCGGCGAGAGAGCCTGTCAAGCCGCAAGAGGAAGATATTGAACTAGGATCACTTAGTAGATTTGACTCCAGCCTGGTTAGCGTGCATGAAGGCAGAACAAAGTCTGATTGGTCATATCCCCCAGAAGCACGACATTTTGCAATTGCTTGGCTCATGGGTGAGAAAGTCTGCTCTGACATTGGGGTTCTCGGGAACGAGAGGTTTATAGACCATCGACGAATTCGAGAATGAGCCTCAGACTAACTTTTGAAGGTTATCAGGTGTTTTATAAGAGCATGAAAAGTGTTTGTATACATGAAAGTCAGACTTTTGTGTCGTTAATAGAACTCTTGGATTTCTTCAGATCATGTTACTATGTTTGATCATAATCATGAATCTTTTCACATATTCACTCACTACTGTGTAATCACTGATACTGTGTATTAATGACGTGTAAACAATATCGAGAACCACCCGAACAGCCAGCAAAGGCAGAATATAGAAACAAACACTCACTACTGCTCTCATTCCAAGCAGAGGGAAAAGAAGATTCTTTCCTCAAGAAGGGAGGGTCCCTGTGCAGCTTCACAACTTGATAAACCATAAGAATTTCGAACGAATTCATAGAATACCTTATTAATCGGAGGAAGTGTGCGTACTGAAGACTACACGCGAGGAGTCAATATCATTCGTGGATTATGAAACGATAAGATCATGTACAGGCAGGGGCTCGTGAGCGTGTTATCTTGAATGAACGGCTCATCTTTTGCGCAAAAACGAGGCCTACGAGGATCTATCGGAAGAATGTCCCGCATATCAACTTCGTCACATTCACTCTCGCCTGGTGTCTTTAATCCTTGTGTTCGGTGACCTTTACCCAAAAGTTATCCTGCATGAACAAATTGTGATTGACGCTATGCCAAGGCTTAGCGGGATCCAAAATCTGGAACTCAAAATTGCGAAGCAACTGAGTGTGTAAATGTCAGCATCTCAGCACCTCAGAGTGCCACTTCAATCTCAAACTTGGGGCGGAAAGACAGTGCTTACTTCAACAAACACCTTATTCAATTCCAGAAATGCAACATTCTTTCCCGCACAACCCCATCGCCCATACCCAAACGCGAGTTCAGTTGTCTTCTGCATCTTATCCTTTGTCGCCGCGTCGGCTTCGATCCATCGCTCAGGCTGGAAGAGGTCCGCATCTTTACCAAATACGTCGGCGCGACGAAGCGTGCCCCATACGTTCTGGGCGATGCGCGTGCCACCCGGAACAAAGTGTCCATTGATAGTGTCTCCTCCGGCGGGCACTTCTTTGGCGCAAAGGCCGGTGAAGGGCGCGCACATCCGGAGACCTTCATAGATAATGGCCTGGCTTTGGTGAGCAAGTCCAGGCTACGATTATCAGGAGCGAGATTTGGGGGGCCTAACCTGAAGGTAGGGTAATGTTTTTCCTTCCTCATAGGTAATTGGGGATGATATCCGGCCTTGGGTGATAGCTGTGCTAATTTCGGTTTTTAGAGTATGATATGCGCGAGGCGATGTGATAAGATGCAGGAAAGTCGTCCGAATTGCTGTTGCGGTTGTGTCTGATCCAGCAATGATCTGGAAGAGAACTTCTGTTTCACACTCGCTCTGGCTGACGCCGTGCCGGATAAAGGCACCCTGGTTGTTCTCAGCTTTGCTCCAGACAGGATAGCTGACAGATAACCTACCAGCATGTCCGGTTCCTCCTTTGCATCTGTACCGAAACGTCGTCCGACAACCTCCTTGGCTACTCTGTTTCGATCAGCATCGCAGCATCATGCTACTCATAGAGGAACCACTACGTACCCCATTAGCTTTCCCAATCCGCTCTTGTCAGTATGTTTCGGGCCGACAGCGCCTAGAACGGGCTTGGAAAACATAAAGCTGGCAAGCCATGGCACCTCACTGCATAGCTGCAGAAGCGGTATAGCCGCCTCCGTGGTGCTGATGTAGTCATGGACATCCGAATCAGTGGCTAGGTACCCAAACTCTTTTCCATACGCAACTCTGGTAATAACATCCAACGTGAAATATTGTGTTGTCTTGCCCAGGTCCATCGGCCTGACCTCGTCGTCGGTAGTAACATACTTCCTCTTGATGAGGTCCACGAAACCAGCGACCTGGGAGTTGATGCCGTCTTCGAGCGCCAGGTTCTCTTTGCCGGCGTATCCAGCTGCGCACTTCGCTTTCAACTTGTCATGTGCGCCGGTGTCGCGCAGACTGAACAAGCTGTCTTCGTGAGGATTTAGCTTTGTGGTATCGTACCAGGATGATCGGCCGTAAGGTGATCGGGCAGCGTTCATGCGACGTAGGATATCCGGGTCGTCAGTGACGAGGTCGTTTGGGCCAATGCGGACTAGGGAACCATGTTTCCTGTTGAGGTTGGTGAAGTGCTCGGCCGGTCGACCGGAGCGGGCGTTTGATATGAGCCATATGTAAGAGAAGCGTCCGATGAGCGGGCCCGGGAAATCGCGGAGACGGCCGTAAGCTATGATAGATGAGACGACATAGTAGATGATGAAAGCGAAGCTGAGATAGAGCGGTGTCGCGCCTGCATCGAGGTATGAGGTGAAATTTGATGGCGTCATATTTCCAGTCGTCAGCTCGTTCTGCAACTTTATTGCAATACTGAGGGAGGCAAGATTGAGTTGACTTCAATTTCAATTGCAACTACAAGGCTCTTATCCAGTCGTAAGGGTCCCCCATTATATGGTCTAGTATTTTCAATGCCGACAGCGATCATCTTCTACTTTCCGGGTTTGCCCCGTCCAGATATTGGCTAGACCTCTTGCCATGCCAACGCGTTGATTGTTGGAACCCCGCCTCTTGTTACATCGCTCGGGATTCTAGAGACGTCTTGAGGATGACAGCGCTGACTTCCATGTCGATAAACCAGGGTTTGCGGATTGGATGGCTTGGTGTACCGGGCCGTTGACACCAAAAGTCCCAAATGCCGATTATGAACCTACCTCAATTCGGATACTCCATCTGGAAGAGTCGCACTGCCCAGCCTACGGTATCATTCGATTGCAGACAATCAGTCTATCGATGCCAGGTGATGTCCAATGACGACCTTCCTTTCGGACCCGGGCAAGATGGGAACGAAAGGTCGGCAATTGGAGAATTCAGACAATTACGCTTGTGATTGGATGTTTTGGGGGGAAACTGGAGGAGAGGCAGCTTTTGTGGGTTCCTCAACCTTGTCTTGTGTAACGTAGGGATCACGGATATGTCGGCGTAAGCGCTTGAGCTTTTATGGTTACAACGAATGTGCCATGATGGATCGCTATCGGACTCTGAAAGATTTTGAAATGGGGCAATGGGCAAAGAAGGTGTCTTGGTAAGCTGTTGCTATTCACGGACAAGCGACCATTTGCCAAGGAAAACTCAGACATTGTCGACGACCCATATAGGCCCACAGACACGAGCTGGAGGAGTAATAGAGGAAGCGTTATTGGTCGGAGGAGGGACGGGGCATGAGCATAAGGTACACTAGGATAAGGAGAAGGGTAGCAAACATTGCGATGAAGTATGCGATGGTTGAGAAACATTACGAGACAGCAACGACTTCGAGCCAACTTTGCAAAGACTTCCATGATCTGGAATCTAGCCCGAAGATGAAGGACATCTAGCTAAAATGGGATAGCTCGAGAGGCGAAAAGCTGATGCTTGGGAAGAGAACGGGGAGGGTTGTCCATATTAAAAACACAGTAGCATACAAATTCCGTCGGAGACTTGACAAAAGGGCCCCCCATATCTTCCTTCATTCGAGTCTCACCGTCCGCAAGGCACGATTGCTCCGCCGAGTGTTGGTGGTTATTAGTACATTATCGTTTACAGTACAGTCGTCTTCAGCGCGGCGACGCCCAAAGTGATTCCGTGAGTAGAGCCCAAAGTCTTATTGAGGTGCCTTGGTGCGCAACTGAACGCCGTGCCACTGCTTCATCATGTCGCCCAAGACGGCGTTGACCATGCGCTGCTGCTTCAGCATGTTGGCGCCCTTGAATTTGGCCGAGGTGATGTCGATGGCGTACATGGAACCGCATCCGCCCGAAACGTCTTGAACGATGAGTTCCGAGGGCGTGAACTCAGCAACCAGCTTATCCCATATCGTCGACTCGGCATCGTCCAGGTGGTCGGGCTTCTCGAGGGCTGTTGCGGTCTCGGTCGCGGAGGAGTAGGAGCGCTTGGAGATGGATCGGAGGTTGGATTGAGGCAGTGGTCGGATCGCCTTGGAAACTTGGACTCTAGGAGCGGATCTCAGGGCGTCGTTTCTTGTTGCGATCGACAGACTTGAGAGGGGAGCCTTTGCGATGATGGTGTTCGTGGGCTTGGGGAGCGCAATTGCGCGACGGCACGCTCTGCAAAGCATTTTGGACTGATTCGGTGATTAACTTGTTGGCTATTTGGGCCGTGGTGTAAGAGGATTTGGCAGCGGCTTCAACTGGGGTCGCTTGAGGCTATCGCGGTCGAATCGAGGTCTCCAAATAATTTGCCGTGGATTTGGTGGGAAGCTTCAATTCGGAATTTCTAAGCTCGCAGCTATTGACGTCAACCAGGGATGGGGTGAGCTGCCGGGATTTAGCCGGTGGCTGTGTGCGGTTTACAGTGTGGCTCAGCTCACACGGTACCTGTGTGAGAGGAGTGGCTCAGTGACATACAAGTGAGACTCACACCTCCATCAAGCATACTCACTCACATGCTTCTCATGTGCCACTCACTCGACCTTCACACCTTTCAAGCCAACAAGCAACCTGGTTCACTTCGTGCGTAAGGTGAGAAAAGAAATATCTCCTAGTCATTTCATTTTAGTCGCAAAACAGCTAACATGGATCACAGGGACTGGAGATTTTAAGGGGCTAATGCGACAACACCTTCAACCACCAAGGGCTACATCATCACCCTCAGCTCTCCTGCTTCACATGCAGATGTCCCCGCTAAGATAGGCCGCTCTAGACGGTGGGAAAATTATTTCTGCATCTCCAATCTGCCAGCCATGGCGCGTCTCTCACCTACTTCCGCCGAGTTACCCCGGCAAATTCTCCCAGTTCGAGATCACCCCGTCCATCTTACCCCAGGGCCCAGGGCCATCAATAGCGTCTCCCCGCATCTCCCCGCATTCTTCTCCAATGATTTACCCCAGGCCGTAAAAGTTGCTTAGTCCGACACTAGAAATTAGAGGCGACGAGGTTCTCTTGCGGTTTTTGTCAAATTCCTCCAATCAGGCGTGTTAAGGTCCGGCCGGCAACACTTTTCCCAGCGGTCTGGCAATGAACGCGATGAACACGATGAACGCATCAGGGGAAGACAGCGAGCTTCGATGCTACGCTAGAAGGCGTATAAAACGTGGTACATAGAGGAAAGGAGACGCTCAGGGAAAATGAGAGGGACTGAGTAGCAGAGAAGAGCAGCAGCTTGATCCTCCTTCTTGTTTCCATGGCTCGGTTGTCCTTTTTGTTTTCCGCGGCTGCGGCTTGCTTCCTTCAGGCCGTGGCAGCTCAAGAACCTACAGCCCAGGTCCTCAATGGCACTTACCAAGGCCGTCATTTGTCTGAGTGGGACCAAGACGCCTTTCTCGGTGTCCCTTTTGCGCAGCCTCCGGTTGGCCAGTTGCGGTACAAGTGGCCACAAAGCCTCAACACTTCTTTCGAAGGCACGAGAGATGCCACAGAACAGGGCTACAGCTGTATGCAGTTCAGAGGGACCTTCAACATGTCCGAGGACTGCTTGACCCTCAATGTTGTCCGTCCAGCTGGAAAGCCTGAGAAGCCGCTCCCGGTTCTCGTATGGATCTTTGGTGGTGGCCTATACACTGGGTCAATTGTAAGGAATTGTCAATTTTGGAGCATCGTGTGTCGAGACTGACTTGAATGTGACATAGGCCGATCCTCAATATAACCTGTCGGGCATTGTCAAAGTCAGTCAGGACATGGGCCAGCCCATTATTAGCGTAGCCATGAACTACCGTCTCAACATGTACGGCTTCCTACAGACACCTCAAATCCTCGCCGAAGGATCCAGTAACGCGGGTCTGCTGGATCAAAGGTTGGCGCTCCGGTGGATCCAGGAGAACATCGCGGCCTTTGGTGGAGACCCGGACCGGGTGACGATCTGGGGCGAGAGTGCCGGGGCCCAGAGCATCGCCTACCACATGTTTAGCTACGATGGCCGGGACGACGGCCTCTACCGCGCCGCAATCCTCGAGAGCGGCGGGCCGACGGGGGCCCAGGTACAGGACCTTGCCTACTACAACGCTCCCGTCGAGAATCTGACGCGCAGTGTCGGCTGTTGGACCGCCAAAGACCAGTTGGCTTGCCTTCGCGGCCTAAGCCAGACGCAACTCTTTGCAGGAAACCCCAGTCAAGTGTGGAACCCGATGATTGATGGCGACTTCCTGACGGGCTACCCGAGTCAACTGATCCGCGAGGGCAAGTTTGTCAAGGTGCCTCTTTTGACGGGCGCCAACAGCGACGAGGGAATCAACTTCAACCCCAACAGCCCCAAGCCAAATACCGAGACTGACCTGTTCAACGGCTTCACTTGGTGGCGCTCTTACGCCCTCTCCCCACCGACGATCAGAAAGCTCTTTGAGCTGTATCCCAACGACCCCTGCACCCAACCGCCGCTCTCCATCACGAACTGTTCCGTGTACCCGGATTATGGCCTGCAGTGGCGGCGGGGTGCCTCCATCGGCGGCGACTTAGTCATGATCTCGGGCCGCCGGAAGATGTGTGAGCTCTACGCCGTCTCTCAGCCCGTGTACAGCTACCGCTTCGACCAGCTGCTTTGGAACCGCAAGCAGATTGAGGGTGTGCGACACTTTGACAACGTCGCGTACAGCTTCCAGAACATTTCTGGCCTGCTCGGGCCGTCGCCGCAGTATGACAGCCACGTGCGCTTCGCCCGCGCCATCGGGGAGGCCTATGTGCGCTTCGTTTACGACACGGATCCAAACCCGAAGGTTGGCAGTAATGGGACTTTCACGAATGGCACGTCGCTGTTGCCGTATTGGCCCAAGTATGACTTGAGTGCCCCCAAGAACTTGGTGCTAAACGCATCCAAGAGCTATGTGGAGGATGATACCTGGAGGAAGGAGGGCATCGACTTCATCAACACCTACGAGGTTGCAAGGGAACTTCTTGCATGAAAAATTGACCTGCAGTTGGGAACTCGGGTTTCTGAGAGCGGGTCTGATATATAGCATCGGGCAACAGATGGGTAATCGGCATTGTCCGGCGTACACAGTACATAGATGATACAACAATAAGCAATGTTAGTTAATCATGGTGTGCTACGGATACTTATCCCGCCCACATGTTCTTTTCGTACTAGTGGAGACTGCCTCGATCCTCCGCGCTCGCCGCAAGGCCAAGGAGGGGAAGCAAGGCGACTCTTGTCATGGAGCCCGGTCACCGCCCAGCCGCCCGTTGACCCTCCCCCCTATCTTCCCGGGACGGACTGCGACGGTCGCATTTAACGATCTGTAAGGTACGACCCATCGTGTCCGAATGGTCGGGATGCTGATCTTGAGGCAGCATTGGCGTGCCTCTGAAGACTTGGCCGAGTTGGGCATCTGCGTTGGCCAAGAATCTTGATCCCCTCTCACGCAGGTGAAGAAGACTAGACTTGATACTGTTTGGTCGACTAGCGCCTGCATCTGAGTAGCTACCTCGTAGAGACTTCATGAAAGTCGGACAGTATCAACATCTGCAGCGTATCGCGATACGATAATGGTCGATTGTTTAGCTATAAAACCCGCTTCTGAGTTGAGCAGGGCAAGACTAGCATCATGCTTCGGTCAATCAGAAATCAGAGTTGTTTCGGCGAAGGACGCTGTGGATATTTCCTGTCTACTGTGAGCTCCGCTCGGAATACAGAGCATACAACTCTGTTTAGTCTCAATATTGAATACGGAAGTTATTTGACCTTGTGCTGATAAGAATATCTTCAATTCTTCCCAAGAGCACAAAACACCCTGTCTGCTGCATGCCGATGCATGTTGTTGAATCAACCATGAACAAAGTTTGGCGCCATAGTAAGGTTAAATGCATTTGTGTTTGCCAAAGTTCTATTTACCTTGAAGACCCCTACAGCAGTGCAGTCCGCCTAGAATATGTGTATCCAGGTCCTCCCTAGCAGCAAGAAGTCAGTAATCATTTATCCGCAAATTTTAGGTTCAAGCAAGCGGGGATCATTGTTTGATGAGCCTCTCCAGTTGCCATCTCGCTGTAACCTCTTCGTTGATTTGCTGCGAGACACAGAAAGGCGACTGAATCGTACAAACCCTTCGCCTTTCGAGGTTCTCCGTCAGCCGAACCGTCGAACCCTGAGAAGAAGTGCATATCAAAAGTTCTCTCATTTTCAGCTGGACCCGTTCTCTCGCCCAGAATACGAAGAACTTGAAAGTTTAACCAGGTCAGATTGAGTGGAGGAGATCCCCGCGGCCTCTTCCCGAGCTTCCCAGATCGCCTTAGCAGCCCAGCCGGGACCCAACTCCTTTTGGCTAAAGGCGAGAGAAGCGAGAGTAGCCGTGGTCCCCACGCCCTTTAGGCGTTGGTCTGGGCGTATCAATACTGGGCCATTGTTCTTACTCTTCAGACCTTCGCATCACTCCAGGCCTTCACAGCTCTATCATTGCATAGAACTCGGCGGGACTCAAGTACAGTTTCCAGTTGATACGGTTCGATACGTAATAGCAGACCGAAAGCGATGTTTTGCGCCTGTGACTCGAGAGTCCAGACTGACGCGCCTTTGTAAGTTTAATGCGAACCATCCAGCACAGGGAACATGTAGCGTCGCACCGCCGCCCGCATCCCGCGAACCTTTGCGTCCGGTTCAGAGCCGGGGCCTGGCCACCGCGTTATCGACTTTTCGGCAGGTGAATCGGATGGAGGCCTAGAAAGACGAGAAGCCATGGATGATGGGATGACAGGTGTCAGGCCTTGTTGGTCTTTTCCCGTCAGACTCTCGAGCCTTCAACTCTCCCAGAATCCTTTCGCCCACTCAAAAACTCCGTTCAGCCACTTTTGGCTCTGCTCTGTGTGCGTGCGGGGATTTCGCATGTGGGCGCGGAAGAGTTGGCGATATTGACTAGCAAAAGGTCCTCCACCCAGTAAAGTCTCTGATTCTCCTGCCCAAAAGGAACAGACACAACATGAGTCGTTTGACCTTTCAAGCTCCTTTTTCTAGTTACGGACTGGCCTCCGACCTCACGCCCTATGGCTTGTTTCCTCGATAGAGAAAAATCGTATGCCGAGGAGTATCGGGACAAATAATCAACCTCAGAAGCCGATACTGACGTGCCTGGAACAACATCCAACGCAATCGCCTCAGAACCCACCATGCAGCCGGGATGTCCGTCCCCGCGTGGATGCTGCCGTTGTAACTACCACTCGCGTGCCTGAACACATCGCGCGCTCAGCGCTCCACATCGCACGAGTGCCAATTCAGGAACACGCCCAACAGACAACAACCCCGAGATGCACTACTACCACGGCAGTAAGAGTGCCATGACTTCTTGGCCCCTTGGCTCCGTGGTCTGCGGAAGGGATTGTTGCACGCAAGACGGAAGGCAGCGTTTCTTCGAGGGGATGTGGGAGCTGCAACTCCCGTATCGTGTTTACCGTATGATATTGATATGATGTTTATCGCAGAGCGGCAAGTGTAATGTCTTGGAGTCTTAATAACGTTACGAATGAAGTCTTGCTGAACTCTGATAGGAGCAGACCCTCGTCCACCAATCTTTGTACAAGCCACTGACATTGAACAACTCGTCCTCCTTGTCTTTGTTCCCGGCCAGTATTTCGCAGCAACAATACCAATATGGAGCCGTCACCAATGCCACACGAGCCACCCAATGTCCTTTTGCCATCTGCAAACACAGGGCTCTAGATGTGCCACCAGACCAGAACAAGCCTCCCGAGTGTCCTAGCCTCCAATCCATGCGAACGCCCAACGGCCAGCCGCACTCTGATTTCAAGCACAAAAAACGTTGTGGCGTCGCTGCTGGCAATCTTCGCCCAGAGATCTCGAAGAAGTCAAATCCGATCTCCCGCTTTCTGCCAATCACTCTTCCGCGATAGCTCCAACTGCTCTTCTCAGAAGCGAGCCTCGAGAGGGCCTGCTCGCCACCAAACGGGGGGGATGCTAGTGAAATAAAAGTGCCCCTAACCAAGCAACCCCTGGCCACGGCTAAGTCTATGATCCATGGCCACCACGGTTGGCCAGGGACTCCCCTCCATCAGGTCTTGCAGTCCCTCCAACGACATGCGGAAGACCTTACCCAGATAGGAAGGCCATCTGAGCAAATTGACCGTTCAGAATGCTCTCCAATGACATTGTTCAATTAATTAGCCCCGGCGCAGCTCCCTACCACTACGAAGCCTAAACAAGGCAGCTCGAAAAGCAGCTTCTCATATGTTGATCGACGTTCGGTCGAGATGCTCCTTTTCCGCTACAGGCCGTGACTTGCCCACGCGGTGAATGAGCTGCAGATTGGCCTTCAAATCTTGAGGTAACAAGCTGCGTGCAATTTCTTATTCCCTGGTCCCGTTCGCTTGTGCTATTTCCCCCTGACCCATGGTCCCATCCCATCCCACCCCTCAACCTCACCCCTGCTCCCCACTCACTATCGCGTGCCACACTGTCACCGCGCTTTTGCATCCTCGCAAACTCCCACAGCGCATGTCTTCTGTGCCGATGTTTCTCTCCACCTGCCTGGGCGAGCAAGCGTGCTGGTCTGAAATGGTGCTCCCAGTTCCTTTCATGACGACAACGACAGGCCCAGTCTGGCGCCGTCCTGGGTCCCTGCCAGACTGGGGTTCGCCTAGAGAGTTGGGCCGAGCGAACAACCCATCCCCCTCGTCCCCGGATGAAGGACACACTCATGGCACTTATAAAGCTAGACCCCCGGCGCGTCTGGCTCAAGAGATGCTTTCTTTCTCGCCAGCTCCGGTCTCCCACAGGTCATCCGTTAGCCAAACACAATGGTCAGAAGCAGTCTCTTGCTGCCGCTCCTCGCGGCGGCTTCCGCCGTTCAAGCCAAGGCTCCGTCTCCCAAGACCGTCGCTGGTGCCTTCATCGTCGAGTTGGAGGACGGACAGGTATGTCAATAGCGCTGAGAGCAACCTACGCCAAGGCAAGGTAGAATTGCTAACCTAACCTTTCCAACAGGATGCCTCCGAGTTCTACGCAGAGGCAGAGAACGATGCCATCACTCGTTTGAACCTCACCTACTCTCTTTTCAAGGGCGCGTCCATCCAGTTCAAGAACCTCGACACCGCCGACCAGAAGGCCGCCAAGCTCGGTCAGCTCGCTTCGGTCAAGAACATCTGGCCCGTGAGGACCTACAGCATCCCCAAGCCCGAGGTTGTCTGGACCGGTCAGCAGGGCCGCGACTACATCGATCTGAAGAAGCGCCAGGAGGGCGAGGATACCTTCTCGACTCACGTCATGACCCAGGTTGACCAGCTTCACGCCAAGGGAGTCTCCGGAAAGGGCATCAAGGTCGCCGTCATTGACACGGGTATCGACTACCTTCACCCCGCCCTCGGTGGCTGTTTCGGCGCCGACTGCCTCGTCAGCTACGGAACCGACTTCGTCGGTGACGCCTACGATGGCTTCAACGAGCACTTCCCCGACCCCGATCCCATGGATTGCGGTGGTCACGGAACCCACGTTGCTGGTATCATTGCCGCTCAGAGCAACCCCTTTGGATTCACCGGCACTGCTCCCGGTGTGACCCTAGGTGCTTACAAGGTTTTCGGATGCGAGGGCCAGGTCAGCAACGATGTTCTCATTGCTGCTTACAACCGCGCCTACGAGGAGGGCAGCGACATCATCACCGCCTCCATCGGTGGTCCCTCTGGTTGGACTGACGAGCCCTGGGCCGCCACCGTCTCAAGAATCGTTGAGGCTGGTGTCCCTTGCACAGTCTCTGCCGGTAACTCTGGTGACCAGGGTATCTTCTTTGCCTCTACCGCCGCCAGCGGTAAGCACGTCACCGCCATTGCCTCCTTTGACAACGTCATCACCCCGGCTGTTCTCATTGAGAACTCGTTCACCATTGCTGGTGGCGAGTCCCAGAACTTTTCCTACACCCCCGGCGAGCCTCAGAACTGGGCTGGTGTCGACCTGCCCCTCTGGGCC